AATCAAACTCTATAATTAAACTTACCTAAGGCCTAATATGGTTTAACCAATTATTTGTGAACCTTTCTGAAGACATAACTCTCGTGATTAATCAAATGTGAAAAGGTTGAATGTAATGTAAACAAAAGACAAGTTTTCACTGATTTTATCTTTTCTTTCCTAGATCAGCAGATTCGTTGTCCTGAGCTGATAATCCCAGCTGATGGACAACTGATAGGCAATTGTCTGCCCTATGCTGGGGGAATCTGCAATATTCAGTGTTTATCGGGTACTAGTCGGTTGATTCAAAGTGTTTGTAATATAAATGGCTCATGGTCAGAGCCAAACCCACGCTGTACACCACCAATCATCTGTCCCAATATAGTTGGGGTTACCAATGGACGGATTGAAGGCGCTTGTTCTCCAGGATTTCCTGGTTCAACGTGTTCGTTTTCATGTAATCCAGGTTTCACGTTGGTTGGTGCATCGACATTAGTATGTTCATCAACTGGCTATTGGTCTGGAGATCAGCCAATTTGTGCTCGGCAAATGTGTCCTCCATTACCTAGTTCAGTGAATACAATTTTAATAGGCAACTGTTCACCCGGGATTGTTGGATCTACGTGCAGTTATGAGTGTACACGAGGCTTCGTATTGAGAGGTCAATCGCAACTTACATGTACAGCAACTGGTGAATGGTCAAGTCAACCGCCAACATGTGAACCAATAGGATGTCAACCATTGAATCGACCTCTTAATGGCCAATTAAACGGTACTTGTAATCCTGGTAGAGTAACGGAATTGTGCAATTTGATCTGTGATTATTGCTATGCCCCTTCATCTAATCCGAGTTTAACTTGCAGTGAAACTGGTCAATGGTCCGATCCATTACCTAACTGTTTACCCATAACATGTTCACGACTACCAAGTCCAATGGTTGGAACCTATTCTGGCAATTGTAATCCTGGTCTGTGTGGACAGCCTTGCGTCCTTAATTGTGGTCCAAACTATGTGACACCAACTAGTGAGATACTATGTACACCAAGCGGTTGGGAAACACCAACACTTCCTACTTGTGTGCGTAGAACCTGTCCACCGTTACCACCGTTAGCTAATGGTCTTAACGAAGGCGCTTGTAGTCCCGGTATAGCCGGTTCATCTTGTATTTATCGGTGTAATCCTGGCTACGCTTTGATAGGTAACCCAAGTTTTGATTGTTTGGCTGAGACTGGTAATTGGACAGCTGGTGCTTTGCCTGTTTGCACAC